AGCATAGCAAAATGAACATGGGGTAAGATGGAAGAGACTAGGTTAGATTAATGGGCACCTGCAGCATTTTTAATAACTCAGAACAGACTGATCGAGATGGCTCTCAACAACTAGGAAAGCCTGAGTTCCTGAGCACAAACCATTTTAAAATGCATGTGTTGAATCGATGGTGGGTTAGTAGGTATCTTTATCTGCCATCACCACATGTGCTGCAAATGCACATATTAGGAAAGAGTAATATTAAAGATCTCACTATTTCTCTAAGATGAGAACAGTATACTTCTTTGAGTTTCATTTAAAATGAAATAGCTCTCAGGTTAAATTATCAGCATATGATCATCTGCAATACCCAGGAATAAAGGAAATTGCTGTTTTCCATTCAGAAAGAAAAAGAAAAAACCTCAGGCAGAGGCACTGCTTTACAATCACTGCTTTACAATCACTGCATGCACACACGTATTTGTTCTTGGACTTGCTCACGTATGCACACTTGCAGCTATGCATCCCATAATATCAATTCTCCTGAGCACTGTCTCCAAGGTGTGGGAACAACCATTCCCATCACCCCTCCCGTCCTTACCTATAGGATACCATCACTCCAATGACTCACCCAGAAATCCATCTTCCACAGCTTCTCTTTCAACCAGTGATAGTTGCGAAAAAACATATTTTCCCCAGAGCATTTTTACTTTCAATCTTGTTGAAATGTTCTTGGTACTCAATATACTTCATAGAAGACAGCTTTTATCACTTTTTAGCCTCATAAAAAATAGTTCCCCAAAGTATTTTACTTGCTCTTCAAGATAACCTTTGTCTTTTATTTTCCTATCTTCAATTTCAAGCCCAGTGATTGCACATCATAGATGCTCAATAAATGACAGTTAACAAATTTATCATCCTCTAGAAAAAGTTGTCACTTCCCCAACAGCAGTCCCACTGAATGACTCTTTCATAGTTAAAAAAAAAAAACTGTTTTAGTTAATAGTTCTGTACTAATTTAACTCTATTGTTAAACTCTTAGTTTTTGTAAATATGCCACAGCTATGTAAGATGTTGACATTCAGGGAAGCTGGATAAAGGATAGAAACCTTGTACTCTCTTTGTAACTCTTCTATAGGTCAATTTCCAAATAAAAAGTTTTAAAAACAGAACAAATTTTTAAAAATGAGTGAAACAATAAAGTTCTCTTAATCCCAATTCCTTTTCCAGCTACCATCCTATCTTCCTTCTTCTCTTTATAGTTATATCATTTGAAACTATTATCTATATTCACTCATTACAATTTATTTCCTCCCAGCTGTTCTTAAACCCACTCCAGTGTTTTCACTCTTAATACCCATCTTATCAGGGACCTTCCAGTTGCTAAGTCAATGGCTGCTCATCAGAACGCCTCTCCTGTCATATCGGCAGCATGACACAGCTGACCAGTCCATTTTCCTTGAGACACTTTCTTCATGTGGCTTCCTGACATCACGCTCATCTCCTTTTCCTTCTTCCTGTTGATAAGAGCACCTTTTGCAATTCTAATAAGAATCTCAAACCTCACCAAAATTCCTTAGTGTGGATCACTAACATAGCAGGGGAAACCTGAAACAAGCTGAACATTGAAAAACTGACCGTAACAGATGAAAATAATGTATAGAAAGCCATGAGTTCATAATGATGCTTTAAAAAAAAAAGTCTTTCACTGCTTAAAGATTGCTAGGGCACCAACTCTATAATAGGCTAATTGATAGATAAAGGGAAAGAATCCAGCACTGATCCTGTCTTTCCTGTTCAGACTCATTTCAGGGCAAAGTCAATGAGAGAAAGTTCTTTATAGAAGAGTCACAGATAATAAATGCAGGAAAAAATGATAGACATAGTAGATATAGGCAATGATCAATAGCTACTAAGTTAATTAGGTAAAAAGTTGATAGAGAACTTTATTTGATGGATCAGACTAACAAAAACTGAACCCACTGCTCGATCTTAATACTAAAAGTGAGACAATCAGATATTACATACCTCCTCATGTGTGATATATGAAGTACACAACACTACTACTTAGAATGTAGGCTTGCAAAGAATATCTTGAATTTAAAATCTAAACTCTAGATCTAATCACCAGTTCACATGAAATACAGACAGGATCATGTTAAATGACACTTTTGAGGATACAGTAATCGAGTCCAAAATATGGGAGACTATATAGGACAAATGACCCAGTTTCAAGAAATGATGAGGGAAAATTACCATGTATGTGTGTGCAGTGGGAAGACAGTGACAGATTAGAAGAAACTTGAAAAACATAGCAACTGAATTCAATGTGTAGACTTTGAGGCAATGGGGGAAAACAACACAGAAAGGTCTTAGATGATGTGAAGGAATCATTGTTACTTGTGTTGATTATGATGGTGGCCCTGTGATCATGCTGAGGTGATGTCATCTGTTAAGAGATATATACTGAAGAATTTACAGGTGACGTAATTTCTAGGATTTGCTTCGAAATACACCAGGCAACAAAAAACACAGACAAAAATAGCAGAATATTGCTAATCACTGACATCGGGGTAATGTATGCATAGGAGTTCATTTTACTGTTTCCTCTACTTTGAAATATCTTTGAAAATTTTCATAAGATTTCTATTTTTAAGTAGGGGCTACTGACTAAAAACCAGGGTCCCAGGGAACATCTTTATCTCAAAGCTTGATGTCCACCCGCAGACATCTGTTGGTGAAGAAGTGATCTGTGCCTTGCAGAATGCCTCCCTGATGGTGGACTATTTGGCAAATACTAGGTATTTGATTCATTCTGGTGAGCACTAGTACTCATAGTAACACTTAAAATTTAGGAAAGGTTCACACATATCTTGAGTACACTGTGAAAGGGTTTCATGCTAGAAGAAGAAACATCTTTTTATAAACTCATAGGCTCAAAAGACTCCTAAACAATCCCTCTAATACAGCTCATTGGCTCTGGGTAAGCCCTTTCACCTACATAAGAAATATTTATTAAATACCTATTATATGCCAGGCACAGTGCTGAACAAGACAGGTCCTTACCCACATGAAGGTTACAGGTTAGTGAACTAAACCTAAGCCACTTGGCCTCCTGAAATCCTTTCTGAACAGAACAAGGAAGAGCAAATTAGCGACATACTCATGTAGTGCTCTGCCGAGTACTATATTTGTATTATCACATTTCATCCTAATTAACAGCCCTATGAGGTAGGTAGTATTAGCTCTATTTTACATGCAGGGGCAAGTGTGTGCACATGTAATTGGAAACCAAGTCATAACACAGTTAGGTGACTGGCTCAAGGTCATTTCCCTAGTAAGTGCCATAGCTGAGACTTGAACCCAGGTAGTTTGGGTCAAGGGCTCTCTCCAATCGCAGGTACCACACTATAAATTCCAAGGTGCCTTGGCTGGAGTTACCAGCCAAGCGTGAGTACCAAAGACATCCTGACTGCAAGGGCAACAAGACAGTCGTGGCCAGAAGACCAGAAATACTGTTCAGTACTAAGCACCAGAAATGAAAGAACTGGAAGGAACTACAGTACAGGTGAAGGTCATGACCTGGCCCATCTCAGCAGTTTACAGATGGTGATAGTGAGTCACTGGCAGGGTGGCGGGCAGAGCTGGGATCCAGAACAGGTGGTCCTTGCTCTATGACAACAGCAGGCACACAGGCGATGGTGTTGGTGGGATGGCGGCGGTGGCTGGCACTCTTCTCTTGCTACTGAAGATGCTCACCTTGCACCTCCACTCCCAACACAGAAAGACCTGGGGAGGCCACTTTCTCCATACCTTTGTGGCTCCTCCCCTACCAGCTGCCTTTGCCAGTTGGCAGAAAAGCCCCTTGCGGCTCCTACATCTCTGAATCTCAACGCGTTAGGCTACTAAGCTTTTGAGTACTCAGCCCTAATGCCCAGCCCTTGGTCTGGACACTCTGGGGCCAACTGATGAGTCAGGACCCCTTATACTGGCCGGAGCTTCTCATAGTCTCCTTGCCTCTGAAACGCCGATCACTGCCTTGAATACACTTTGAAATTCTCATCAGATCAATGGCCCCGCTCTTTCTTCCCATTGAATTCATATTTGGGATTGAAATAGTTGACAAATGACCTCTGCTTAAAACTTGACAAAATTCAAAACAGGGTAGAGGCTAGAATGGAGATGCCAGCCATCATCAGGTCCATAAATCAGTGCGTTTGAGCCTGGGAGGCCTGCAGCCAGGGATTAGAGGGGCAACCTCGCTTCTCTCACCAGCTCAAGAACAGAATCTCCTCGCCTGGAGCTCCTAGGTCTGCAGCACTGATCTGTTCTTCTTCCCAGACGCCTGTATCCTCGGTGTTCTCCAAGCAGGCAGCCTTTGGTCCAAGACTGCTTGTCAGAAGGAATGGCCTGGCCTTACCCGAGAAGCCTTGTTGGGACGAGGCACCACCATTCTCTCACCCCATCCTGGAAACTGCCTCCCTACCTACCCCGGGCTTAGCAAGGAGTGCAACTTTCTTGGCTTTCTTTCAGCCACTCGATGAAAGTATGTGTTGAGGAGCTGCTACTGCCAGGAAAGACCCTGGCGAAGGAATGAAATAAAAGGCAGAGCGAGATTTGTAAACAGCTGTTATGTCCCCTAATTGATCCCAAGCATACTCCTACAGCCAGCCACCCCAGCCATCGGAGGCAGATTCAACATGGAACACAGCAGTCACCAACGCCTTTGTCCCCAACAAGAAGCCTCCTCCTCCATGTAGTGTTAAGGCAGGCAGCCAAGACACAGAGCACAGAGAGGGTTTCATTTGAGAAGAAGCTTAACAATTATTCAGGATACATACTTAGGATATTCATTAACATTAAGCAAACATACTGGTTACTCAATTCCCTAAAGCACTTTTCCTAACAATTTTCTATTTCCAAACCCGACTTCGATGGTCTGAAGAGGCAAGGCTGTAGGCCACAGTAAGGTCAACTAAGACATTATGTATAAAGAATTTTCCAAGTAACATTATTAAGAATGTGTTTAAATTACAAGTTTATTGAAAATGAGATATATAGGCTGCTGTCAAAGAATTTAAAGATAGCCTACATTTCACACACAAAACTGTATTTTCATATGATTAAACGTATCTGTTTTTTCCCTCAGAGGAAAGAAAATCTATATTGACCAATTCAAGGTACATCAAGAGATAATCAAACAGTTATTAATAAAATAAAGTCAATACAGTAAAAAATAGTTTAATCGATGAAGTCTTTGCAAAAAGTTTATTATTTAAGTCTGTCAGCTGGGTTTTCTGTTACTCTCCAGTGGGTCACTTAGTTCACAGTCTTGAAAAACAAGGCTGAGTAGAGGTAAATTCATCTTCCCACAAATCGTGTACTACTTGTTACTGTCCTGAGTGGATCTCACAGCGTTCTCTTTTCTACCTTTGCCCGCTCCCTACCACCATTTCTCAAAGCAAATGTGTTCTTTGGGAACATGGCTGTTTTCCAGTTGCTTGGAGAAAAAGTCTGTCATCGGAGGTGGGCCACAAATATAGAACAAAGTTTCTTTTGAAATATGATCTCTAATCTCCTTCTCCGTTATTCTTCCTTCTACCAAGAAACAGAATAAATACCAAATTAAGCCAGACATGTTTGTATTGAAATGAGGAAAGACTAATCACAACTCAGCAACAGTGTTTATTTTCAGTAACTCAAACTTAGTGACTCGGGTCTTAAGTCACTCACACGATGGCTCCTGTTGGCATCTGGGACCAGACCCAGCAGAGTGCACCTTCAGTTTTCCCAAACTTACTGCAAGTAAAGTGGGACACTAATCAGGTTGCCTTCTGACAGTGCCAGTTAACTTACTGATCTTTGGTAGAGATTCAAAACTGCCTTCAGCAAAGAAAATTTTGTGAAAAACCCTTCCAGGCAGGGGAAACCACAAGTAATTTAAATTACCATTAATGGCATTGATCAGTCAAAGCTGGAATATAAATTCTTTGCACGCATACTACAGTGATGATACAAAGGTCCCCTAAAAAATGTGGAAAATAAATTTTTAATATGGGCAACAGGAAACCTGTATAAAATAAGTAAATCCAACTAAATCTCTCCTTATTTTTTCACGATGAATCACCTCTCAATTCCCCAGGTAGTGACATTCCCAGCCAGCAACTCCCAACAATAAAGCATCTACACTCAACCAACTAGTATGTCCATCAAATAACTATGTGGAGATAGTCAAAATATCTTTAGGAGACTCACCCGTGATGTATGGCTTGAGCTCTGCACTGATTTGTGTAGTCTGTTTTGTAACATGCAAACTGCATGCAATCTTCTCAGGAAATTCATTTACTAAATCGAGGATATTTTTCTGGAATGTCAAACATATTTGGTCACACTACAATTTAAAAAAATCAAAACAGATGTGCACAGCCACTGACGCCGAACCTCGCCTCCCATTCTGCACACGTCTGCGGCGCTCACTCTCCACTTAGAGAGATATTGTTTGCAGCCTAGCAGGCCAGAGCATTCAGAGTACAGAGGGCTATTTGGCTTTAATTGAAATCTGAATATGCTAACAAGCATGTTACTAACTCTCCGGGAGTTTTCTCTTTTCCCTTTTTCTCAAGCCTCGGCAATTAAGCAGCGGTTTCACTGACCACAGTTGTGTCTTTTAGCTGTTTCTGTTCTTTTGTTTATCCTTGCAGCTGCAGAGCAATCCAGAGTGAAAGCCTTCTCCATCGAGCGTACTCGGTTTCAACAGATGCGACCGGTGGGGGTTTCATTTACCCAGCTGGATCCAAACTGTGTCCATCTCACCCACCATCGTGACACGTGAGCCCCCGTGGAGGTCGCTTGACTCTGGAGTCTCAGGGCCATGGAGACTCCAATGTTGATCCACCTCCAGAGTCAAGCCCACCTGCCCTGCCCTGCCCTGCTCTGCCCCGCCACTGGGAGCCTCCACAACGCCAGCTATTTTAACTGTCCTGGGTAAGATATTGTTGGTTAATTCCCATTTAAACATGGCCAAGCCTTGTCAGGTTTCTTGTTTTAACTGTTACAGAGAAAACAACTGAGAGGAAAGTTCCATGAACAGTTAATATCATGACATGAGTTTGTTCGCAGCAAGCTTTGAAACATACATTTTCCCCTTACCTTAAACAGGAGTTCACTGGTGTTTTTTGCACTGTAGAATAATTTTATTGTTCCGATCTCGTATCCACTTCCTTTGTTTGCCCGTTCTCTGTGGAGATCTGCCGAGTGCCGCAGGATGGAAAGCAGAGGGTTAATTCCGACTCCTCCCGCAATCAACACAAGGTTTCTGGACACATCTGAAGGCTCGGGGTCGAAGAAGAACTCTCCACCCACTCTCACGGCCACTTCAGAGTCAAGTGTACACTAAGAATGAAAGAAAAGATCCTTTAGTCCTTTGTAGCGCAGGTCTTAAATCAAATGTTCTTATTTAATAAAACTGATGGTGTCTACCTCCTGCATTTTTATCAGTATTTAGGGCTATTTTTGCAGCTTGCTCTCAAGTTTCCCAGGGCCCCGTGAATTGATTCCACTTGTCCATTACATAGGCCATTTGCTGCTCTGCCTTTGTGATCCATACTGCACAGCCGCTCCGGTGTTGAGGAAAGGAAACTCACTTGAGTAATTTTGCCATTTGTTAGCTTCTTAGGTGAGGAACTGGGCTGTGGAAGGAGGCACTGGACTCAGGGGACGGCTCTGAAGCGTGAGTTTCCTTTTCTGAGTGGCACTCCTGTTCTGATCAAAGCCGTGGAACTAGGAGAGGCAGGACGGGGCAAGTGTCATTATCTGCGGCTGCCCTGGCCTCGTCGGGGCTGAGGAGTGTGGGTACTGAGGGCTTCTCCACAGACCGAGGCCAGCACTGCAGTGCGTTCAGTACTTTTCATGTCTTCCTGGAGAAGGAACAGGAAGGAGACTGATGCTTCACACTAGGGGGTGAGTACCACGTACATTAAGGGCGTGGGTCCACCACGTATTCTAGGTGGTGAGTACCACCTATGGGAGGGGTGAGTACCACATACACGAGGGGGTGAGTACCACGTACACGAGGGGGTAAGGACCACATACTACAGGGGGTACAACACAGCACCTGCTACTTGGTGAGGTCACTTACACCAGAAATACCATCAGAGTTGAATGCACTGGTTCTCCATGGAGGTGATACTGCCCGAGGGGGCTGTTTTTGGAAACTTGTGGTGACACTTCTCTATTATGACAGTGATCTGCGGAACCCAACTAACATTCAGAAGGCAGGGCCAGAGATGCTAGATGTCCTGTGAAGTTAGCAGTGTCCAGGAGCTGGCTCCTACTAAGCTGATGGTTAAATCTGCAGGAATTTTGTGAGCTAGTACCTATTAGTAGTTTGAAATCAGCCATTTTGGCAGTATTTACAGCACAGAAATCAGCAAATGCTGCAAATCAGGGCTTGTCTTACCCAGAGAGCTGGTGTAGCAGTATACCACTATCTGCAATGCACGGGACTGCCCTGCACGGACTTCTGAATGCCCCATGAGACATACATGTAGCTGACAACTGTTCCGTAATGATCTGAGACTAGACTCTCATTTTACAAAAAAAAAACTCGAGTATTTTTTGCACAAACTTAACACAGCTGAGTTTTCCAGAAGGTAACTACCATGTAGACTGTACTTTGTTGTGCTCAGAACTTTACCACACATGTATGCTCTTCTGGAAAACCACATCCCAGGTGGTAACATGCATGCGCGGTCCTTCTGTCACCATACGACCTGTAAGCACCACCCGCATTTGCAGACAGTATATTCGTGGTGGTTCCACGTTGAAGAACAGCCATCTCACTATCTCATTCTATTTTCTAGTTTAGATATGCCTAACCATTTATATACTGAAATATAGTCTTTGGTTATGAATCATTTTCCTTTATTTCTCCTTTGTATCTCACTTAGAGAATTATGCTGCCTCTAAAAAAATTTTTGTGTTGATTACATTAACTCTGAATTTCATTTCAGGACAGTTCTAGAAAGGGGCCATTGGGTCTGATACGGTTGAAAACACCTAGTTTGGAGAAAAATGTACTGATCTAGGAGTCAGAAGATTGAATTTTAATCACAGCCCCTATAATATCTAGCAAATCTCTTTACTTCTCTGAGCCTCTGCTGCCACATCTGGAAAATGGGTACCAGCCCCTGTCCTGCTCACCCCACAGGGTTGTGGTGGGCATCACGTGACACATTGTGGGAGAAAACATCCTGTTGCATCCAGCTCCATATAGGAGGGTATTTGGTCATTGTGGCTGTCTGGAAGAAGAGGTGCTGGGGTGCCCGCTTCCTTCTTCCTTGTCACTAAAAAACAGACTCTAAGTATAGAGAAACTTATATTAAGAGCATGGGCTTGCTCCATTACACATTCCTGACATAAACCAACTAAACAAACTCCCTCCTAAAAAGTAATACTGTACCATGTGCTTTTCAAAGACCGAACCTTTAGCATTCACACTTTGGCACTTTGCATGGCAAGCAGGCACTAAGTACTTTTGGACATGAATTTAATTTGGGGCTCCACATCTTAAAGAATAGTTAATCTTACAGAAAATCGAAGAAAAAAAATGAAAATTATTTGAATTCACAAAATAGATCTTTTTTTGCGGGAGTAAAGAACTGTTAAATGAACAGAAATCCTTTCTCTGAGGAGGGATAAAAACATCTGAACTTAACTATTTTAAATATGCAGATTTTCACACGATGATGGTAAGTGGGTTTTCATTTTTGACAAAAGAAATTAGCAGCAGGGAGCATTCTGTTAGTAATAACTAAAATCTAGGAATCACTACACTGGCTACCAAAGTGCTTTAAAATGCTCCTTCTTTTCAAGTTTCGAAAATAGAATTTATGATACGAGAGACTCTGCCTAACGATGACAATGGACTTCATCTCTTTATGCCCTGCCTCCCCCGCTTGCTTGCCTGTACACTTCTTTATCTCTAAGAATCTAAGTGTAAAAGAGACTAAGAAATGTAAGAGAAATAAGTTTCTCCAATGGTCATCTTCAGCATGCTTAGGAATGACAGCAATAAAAGCCTTTAGGTTCTTTGTTTTCAGAAGCCACAGTATTTTCAACCCTAAAATTGACAAGAAAACACACCCCAGGGGAAAGATAATACTCAGGAAGCCTGTGTCTCCTTAGTGACAAAATAATCTCCAGTAGATCTATCTTCTAATTTGCAGCATCTGGAAAAAATCAAAAGCCATCCTCATCTTTTGTTGATCAATAAAAACTGCTAGGGTAGCATGAACACAAAAAGTACTGTACAGTACAATATGGAAGCAAGTTAAAAGATATTACATTCAGTTACATAGCAGTGTATCTAATTTAGATATAGATTTTCTATTTATGAAACAACCTGTCCACAGCAACTGGAGCAGGGACACAATAGCTGTCTAGAACCCTTTCCTCTGCCAGGAGCTTGAGCCAAAGCAGATAAAACAAAGGAAGCCATTTATGGCACTTTATCCCACGTCCCAACAGAGCAGCCTGCTGCCACCCTAACATACACATGCCTCCATTGTCCACTCTAATAGCTTAATAAGACAAATCCTCAGGAGGACTATAGCCACCTGAGAAGGTTCCAAGAAAAATATGACTTCATAAAGGCTGTTTGCAACTCCCACTGGGCAGAGTGGAGCAGGCACTACAATTAGGATGTGCATTCAAGCAATGCCACTTGGAAATTTTCTACAGTTCCTTCATTGAAATGCCAATGAGGCATGAAACCAAGCAGGGAGCTATGGACCAGGACCAGGTCAGGTCACATGGGAGGCTGACAAATGGAGGAGCTCATGGCGTTAGGAGCTGGGATGGCTAAGCTCATTCTGACAGTGAGTGCAGGGCATGTGAACACCTTGCTGGTGCCACCTCTGCAGCATATTTTAGAGACTCAGGATGTAGCCTAGAGACAGTAATGGGTGAAAAATCCAAAGAAAACCTAAAAAAGAATGATGCATCTAAGGGCACACCGAAGGAAGAACTCAGAGGTCAGAAGATAAAAATGTGACAGGATACATTTACAATGGAAATGTTAAGGCAACAGCTAGGGGTTATTCTGACCAGACACAACTTGACATGTAAACCAAAAGAACATACTTTTTATTTTTTTAATGTACCCATAGATTTAAAAATCCTTTATTTTTAAAATTACAATAAAACTTTCTTTTGTGCAGTTCTATGAATTCTAACAGATACATAGATCTGTGTAACTACCAACCATGAGAATCAAGACATAAAAGTTTCTTACCCCCCAAAAAATCCCTTGTGCTATCCTTTTACACTCACACCCTTCCCCACCCCAATCCCTGTCAGCCACTGATCTATTTTCCATCATTGAATTTTTGTCTTCCAGAACGTGACATAAGTGGGATTATATAGTACGCAATCTTTGAGACTGCCTTCTTTCATTCAACGTAATGCCTCCGGGATTCACCCAAAGTGTTGGATGCCATCGATAAATAGTCCATCTGTTTTTATTGCTGAATAACAATACATTGTGTGAATGTGTTGTTTATACATTCATCTACTGAGGGATGCTTGGGGTATTTCCAATTTTCGATAATTAGAAATAGAACCACTACAAACATTCACGTACAGGTTTTAATATGAACAGAGCTTTCACGTCTCTGTGGAATTGCTGGGTCTTATGGTAAGTGTATATGTAATTTCATATGAAACTGCCAAAATGTTTTCCAGAATGGCTGAAGTATCCTGCATTCCTGTCAGCTATATAAGCGAGTTCCAGTTGCTCCACAACCTTGTCGGCACTTGGAATTGTCAATATTTTTCATTTTAGTCATTCTAATAGGTCTGTAGAGATATCCCACTATATATGGTTTTACTCTGCACTTTCCTAATGGTTAATGTTATAAGATGTTAAACATCTTTTCATTGCTTATTTGCCACCTTTATATCCTTTTTAGTGAAGTGTCTATTCGACCCTTTGACCATTTTAAAATTGTTCGTTTTCTTTTTGCTGATTTTTGAGAAATTCTTTATATATTCTGGATACAAGTCCTTTGTTGGATATCTAATTTGCAAATACTTTCTCCTAGTCTGTAGCTTGTTTTCTTAAATTCTGTTAATAGTGTCTTTTGCAGAAAAAAACTTTTAGTTTTGATTAAGTCCTAGACATCAGTCTTTAATGGATCTTGCTTTCGGTATCATGTCTAAGAACTCTTTGCCTACCCTCAAGTTCAGAATATTTCCTGTGTTTTCTTCTAAAATTTTTATGGTTTCATGTTTTATACTTAGATCAAAAACCTATTTTGAGTTAATCTTGACTATAAAGTATGAGATTTAGGTAAAGTTTCTTTTTTTTTGCATATGGATAAACAATTGTTCCAACACTATTTATTGAAAAAGTTATCCTTTCAACATTGAATTTCTTTAGCACTTTTGTCAAAAATCAAATGGCTACATGTGTGCCAGTGTATCTCTGAACTCTTTATTCTGTTCCATTGATCTATATGTCTATCCCTTTACCAATACCACACTTTTCTGATTATGTAGCTTTATTTTAACCTTAAATTTGAATTTTGTGCTTCTTTCCACTTTAGTCTTCTTTTTTGAAATTGTTTCACCTATTTGAGTTCCTCTGCTCTTCCACGTAAATTTGAAAATCAGTTTATCTATATATATCTACAGTATCTGTACTGGTACATTCCTTTTTGGTAAAGGGGGAAAGAAAATGCCTGGGATGGGATGGGTTGCTGGTAAGTAAAGTAGACACACTCTAGAAGTAAAGGAGATGGCAGTAAAAAAAAAAGAAATGGGTCAAAAACTACGAAGACAAATAACTGACCTGCTCTGAGTTCATTCTTTGTTATCAGAGTTCTAGTAGGGAATCAACAGGCAGCTTATGTAGGATTGTGTTTGAGTCCCATGAGGAAGCATGAGTTATTAGCAAATGTAGATTTCCTCTCAGAATCCCATGTGAAGAACTCTCTAGAGATTAAAATGAAGAGGCAGTGGCACCACAGGATTAGCACTGGCTCAGCTCTGGGCATGAGTAGTATATAATCAGAGACTGTTTCTCCTCCAACTAGTGACAGAATGATAGTTTAATTCCCTTTATTTAGGATGGATAGGGCAAAATAATCTGATTTGTAGATTTACCAATTACAAGACATACAAAGAGCGAATTTTCAAAAATCTTACATATAAAGTAGACTGTTTTACTCCTAAAGTAGTATTCAACTGAATGCAGTTTGGTGACCCAGAAGATATTTCCAGACCCCCTAAGTAGCTTTGAGTCAGCCTGAATGCATCAAAAAGATTCTGCTTCCCTGACCTTTTAGAGTCTGAATTCTGGATATAAGGGAGCTCTCTGTGAACATGTACCCTTTTCACTCAAGCCTAGATTTCTTAGATTAAGTGATATGAACACAAATTTTCTGGAAAGTAGAGATGTTCTAATCTTTAAGTTTAAACACAGGTTTGCTCACCTGATTGTGAATCCAGAGAGCAGGAGGGTGGTTTGTATATTTCACTGCCAATTCTATCATCCTCTCTTGTTCTAGCAGTCTGGGGCTAGAGCATATTGAGAACCCACCAACCACAGAGACTCCTGGGATAAAGAAATCAATCCTAAAAGGAAAGGCAAATAAATTATTACTGCTGAAGCAATTTAAAAAGTGGGTAACAAGGTAAACAAAACTGACAGACTTAACTAGACTAAGAAAAAAAAAGATAAAATTACTAAATTCAAGAATGAAAGAGGGGACCTCATCACCAGCCTTACAAAAATAAAAGATTAAAAGGAATTCTATGAACAACAGTTTGACAAAAAATTAGATTACTTTGATGAAATGGACACATACTACCAAATTGGACTTAAGAAGAAATAGAAAATCTGACAGACCCATAACAAGTAAATGAATTAAATTAGCAATTTTAAAACTTCCCACAAAAAAAAAATAGGTTCAGGTGACATCATTCATGAATACTACCAAACATTTAAAGAAGAATACTAATCTTTCACAAATTTTTCCCCCCAAAACAGTAAACACATCCCGACTCATTCTACGAGGCCAGTATTGCTATTACCCTGATACCAAAACCAGAGAAAGATATCACAAGAAAAGAAACTACAAATCAATGTCCCTTGTGAATATAGATGCAAAAATCCCAGGAATACAAGGTTGGTTTAATATCTGAGAATCAATCAATGGAATACACCAACGAGTAGAATAAAGGACAAAACACACACGATCAATAGATGCAGAAAAGGCATCTGATAAAATTCAACACCTTTACATAATAAAAATGCTCAACAAAATGAGGAATAAATGGGAACTTCCTCAACCTGACAAAAGGCATTTACAAAATATCCACAGCTAACATCATATTTAATGGTGAAAGGCTAAGAATCCCCTACTCCAAGAACAGAAACAAGACAAGGATGTCTGCTCCTACCACCTCTATTCAACATTGTGTTAGAGGCTCTAACCAAGGCAATTAAACAAGAAAATGAAATAAAAGGCATCCAGATTCGAGAGAAAGAGTATAGGTGACATGATGTTGTATATAGAATATCCTAAGGAATCGACTATAAAGATATTAGACTGATTAACAAGTGAAATAAGGTAGCAGAATACAAGGTCAATAACAAAAACCAATTGCATTTCTATATACTAGTAATGAACAATCTAAATATGAAATTAAGGAAAATAATTCTATTTGTAACAGCATAAAAAGAATAAATTAATTGAGAATAAATTTAACAAAAGAAGAATAAGATCTGGACAATGAAAACGACAAAACTCTGTTGAAAAAATATCAATGATTTAAACAGAAAGACATCTCATGCCATGAATTGGAAGACTTAATATTGTTAAGATAGCAATACTCTCAAAATTGATCTCCAGATTCGATGCACTATGTATCAAAATCCAGCTGGTTTCTTTGCAGAAATTTACAAGTTGATCATAAAATTAATATGGAAATTCAAGGAATCCAGAATCATCAAAACAATCCTGAAAAAAAAAAACAAAACCAAATTTCGAGGACACACACCTTCTAATTTCAAAACTTACTATCAAGGTAAAGTGATGAAGACACTGTAGAACTAGCATAAAAATAGGCACACAGATCAATGAAAAAGGATTGAGAATCCAGAAATAAATGCTCAAATTTATGGTCAGTTGATTTTCAACAAAGATACCGACACAATTCAATGGCAAAGAGTCTTTTCAACAAATAGTGCTGGGGCAACTGAATATCTACATGTAAAAAGAATGAAGTCTGACCCTTACCTCACACCATATACAAAAATTAACTTAAAATGGATCATAGACAAAAATGTAAAAGCTAAAATTGTAAGCTCTTAGAAGACTTACACAAGAGTAACTCTTCATGGCAATGACACCAAAACACAAGGGTCAAAAAAATAAATAAACTAGACTGCATCAAAATTAAAAACTTTTTGCTACGAATGATACCATCATGAGAGTTAAAAGACAACCGCCAGACTGAGAAAGTATTTTCAAATCATATATCTGATAAGAAACTTGTATACAGAATATATAAAGAACTCTTACAACTCAGTAATAAAAAGACAACTCAAAAAATGTGGGCAAAAGATTTGAATAAAACATATCTTCAAAGACAATATATATGGCTAATAAACACATGAAAAGATGTTCAACATTGTATGTTATTAGGGAAATGCAAATCAAAATCACAATGAGCTATCACTTCACACACACTGGGATGAATGGCTAATCAAAAAGACAATAGCAAGTGTTAGTGAGGATCTGGAGGAATTGGAACCCTTATACATGGTGGTAGGATTGTAAAATGGCACAGCCACTTTGGAAAACAGTTTGGCAGTGCCTGAAAAGCTTCAACAGAGTTACCAGTATGACCCACAACTCCACTCAGTGAGGAAGATATTTATCACACTTTTAAATTCACAAAATATACCCAAGAGAAATGAAAATATATGTTCACACAAACACTTGCACACAAATGTTCATAGTAGCATTATTGATAATAGCCTAAAAGTGGAAATCTAAATGTTCATCAACTGATGAATGTATGAACAAAATGTGGTATAGCCACGTGATGGAATAAAGTAGTGACGCATGCTACAACACAGATGGACACTGAAATCATGTTAAGAGAAAGAAGTCAGCCACAGAAAAGACCACATACTGTATAATTCCACTGATATTGATATTGTTTCTTCTAACCACACTTCTAAAGTCTAGAACTCTTGCAAGTTTCAAGCCTTCAATAATTCTATGCCACAGAAACTTTTTTGGTGGGGATTCTAGGAAGTGCAACAAATCTAGTCACATACACCAAGGAAAGAAATTTATGAGAAACTGAGACCACAAAAAATTCTCATCCTAGTGTCTAGGAAATACAAACCTCCAATCTAGATGTTTATTTGCCACCAAAGAGAAAAAGTATCATTTTCCTCAGCTGTTTTCCTACTAGCAGGCTTATAAGAAAAGCACACAATGTTCTCTATTGATTTGATCTATGACCTTAAAAGGTGTTCTCTTTTGATCTATGACCTTAAAGATCTGGTCATTTTTTTATAGCATTAAAAAAAAAAACAGTTCTGTACTGGAAGTGCTCCAGAAAAGGTCCCTAGCCTACTTTCCACCTATATTCCACTTGACTTTTCCATGAATACCTTAATTTCACTTTTGTTTCAGGCAAGACACAAATTTTGAAAGATTATAGCTAACATTTATTAACACAATTGCTATATGCTTTTAGAGAGGAGTTATAATAGTATCTCCACAGTGTCCATGATTAAAAAAATATCAATGAGCTACTTTTGCTGCTTCATCTCCTGAACTATAGTGCCCTCTGCTGCTTGATGCTGATAAAGACCATTTTCAGGTGAGTGAAAGGGAATCCTTTTCTAGAAACTTTAGAAAGATACCCTTAGAAAAAAATGACTTCTTTCTTAAATGCTACAGGATTCAAATGACATAAAAACTTCATCTGAATGGATTTAAGGAAATATGCACAATACATATTTAATAAAACATCTGTCTAAGAAAATATTGTACACACACACACACATGCCTTTAAAAATGCCCTCTTAGAGCCAAGAGTTGAGCCACCTACTGCACCCCCAGATGCATAAGTATATGAAGAACTGAGACAGCCTAATCCTGTGGTGAAGGGCACATATCCATATCCAGCTGTGACACACGAGGCAGCCCTGCCCTGCCCACTGATGCAGCCCAATGCCCGGCGCACAGCAGGCATGCGAACAGTGGCTGAATGACGATGCTTTACTATGAGGTCCCAAAAGTCCTCAGTTCTCAGCTCTAGCACTTGGAGCCCCTCATTCACACCTTGTGCAAACACTATAGACAGTACCTCCCTACAATACGGACTGTGGTTCCTGTTAGAAATAAAGGTTGCAAGTAGGTCTTGGTCCCGGCCATCAATAAACTCATCATAATGGGAGAAAAATTAACAAATAAATACAATTAAATGGGCCACAACAAAATCTGTCCTTAGCAAAGAGAGAAAATTTTCATCATTTGAGATATGTCTAGAAGTACCTATACTGTTCTTGGTAAAGATTTCTTCTTAGCTCCAACATATGATATACTGATTTTACCAGGAAAATATTAATAAAGCCATTGTTTTATTTAAAAAAAAAATTGCTGGGGGGTCAATTGGGGGCAGTGGGGAGGACAGCAGAGGAAGAAGTCATCAATTCTACCAAGGGTAGAAGAATTAAGAAAGACTTCGCAGAGGAGTCTTAAATACACACAGAACTCACCAGGCAAGCAATGGAGGAGGACACAGTCTGAACAATGACACCAAAGAATGTAGCACTTTCTACGCGTGGTCATGTGTGAGTCAGGGCTGCCGAACACAGCTGTCTAGTTTGTATAGTGTCTACAATGCAGCAGCCATGCTAGAGGGTAGGAGTAGAGTCTTATTTCTCTAATTTTGCTCCTCTAATCTGTTTCTTCTTGGTGTCCTCCTTCTCTTGGTACAGCTCAGTCATCTTCAAGCATAAAAACTTACATTATCTTGTACAAAGTCAGAGATATACCATTGTCTCTCCAAAACCACTTTGCCTTTGCTTCCTTCAGGTGATGCCCTGTGCACACCCCCAGTGGGGAGTGAGTGCTGCATGCAGCACGAGGGGCATCATAACAGCGGAGATGTGCGCTCACCCACTCCTACTTGGCCTGCTGCTCTTCCAACCAACAGTGTCACTGCAGGAGAACTAGCCAAGGAACTAAGAATCGGAATCTGTACCCTGGGCCTCACCAGCACAAATGATCTAACTGCCTGGGTGAAACACTAGCTGTAACAAAAAACAAAAGGAAACTAATAGAGTTAAACATCAGGCACTGTGCTAAATGTCTAACATTTCCCAAGACATATGAATATCACTATTCTCTCTTTAAAGACACGGAAACCGAAACCCAGAGAAAGACAGAAAATGCCTATGTCACAGGGCAGACAGAAAAGCGAACATGTGAGCTGGGCAGACTCCAGAGCACTAGGCGTGCGACACTGTGATACAGCCTCCCTCAGAGGAAGGGTCTGGCCCACAGCAGTGAGCACCACACGTAACACTGAATCTGACAACTCCGGACACTCACACACTGCATGAGGACTGTGAGTGGCCACTCCGGCCCCGAGAGGGAGCCTCAATCTTTCTGTCCTTGGGAAGGAGGAATTCTGAGAAGGTCAAGGGCAGGACTCACCAAAGAGGAGCTAAGTGGTGGAACTACTGGCGAGAAAAGCCCACAAAGTTTAGCCCTGTTCGTGAGAGAAATCCAGAGAGGCAGTTTCTTCTCTCTGGATTGGATTACTTGAGATCCTGGAACTGGTTTCCTTGTACAGGAACCAGTCCCCTCAGGAGGGCCCAGTAAGAACACGGTGCCTCTGGTCTACGTTGAAGGTATCCACCTGGGATCTGTGACCAAAGCTCCAGAGCACTGAGGCAGGTCTGGAGTCTCCCTCTCACCATTTAGCAGGTGTCAGAGGATTCAGAGATGCGGAATCATGGCCCAGACATAGGCCCAACAGGAAAGATAAACCCAAAAGCAATCTTCCCCTTCATAAGCAGCAGTCCACTCTGATAATCCTAACTACAAAGTCTACACGGCAGCCACATCCACTCCCTGATCCTTGCCCTCTCCTCAAAGTGCCACACAAGGTTACTACCAGGATGATGATCTAAGGAAGCCTACAGAGCAAGCTGTCCCAGCAACCGCACTGAAGGAGTGGATGCCACCAACCTAAGCAAATGCCCATTCTATCACCATGAAGTCAAGTTTCCAAAGGAACTCACAGCCCCTAGAGCCACGCAATAAGTCAGTGCTAAGGGAGTAATCTTTTTTTTTTTTTAAAAAAAAAAAAAAGGTCCACAAGCCAGGAATGAGTGCCGATAGGACACCTGGCAGGGAAAGGGGCATCCCTAACCAGCCAGAGACGACCACCTCCATGCTTGCCCTCTGAAGCAGGAGTCTGCCAGGCGCATACTAAAGCCAGTCCTAATGTCAGTGACGTGACTAAATCCATTCACTGATACGGGATATATAACACCCAACAGTGAATAATTTTATCCTGAGGATCACAATGGGACCCTTTTTCTTTATCTATCACTAGAGAACTGATGTTTTTCTCATCAGCTAACTACAGTTTGTAAGTGCTAATACATTCGCAGGCACACCATAGCAGCAGCATTATAAACCAGTGCGCAGGCTTTTTCTAGTCAGGAGACTGGGGACTGGGCTCAGGGTATTTGCACGATTTGGAGTTGAAGGCACAGAGACAATGCTGTGCACAGGACACAAACACTCCCACAGCAGGGAAATATGGAAAGACAGATCATTACAATTAAAGTTCCTACTTTTCAATGTAATAACTGCTAAACTATTTTTGAAGGGTAAAAATGTTGCCCAACCCCCCAAAAAAACAGCCCAAATGAATTTAATATGTATCACTGAACATGTGCAAAGATTGCAGTAAATTGCTTCACAAACACAAATTATTGCAATCAGCATCTTGTTTTCTAGTTCTAAATTCAAAGGCAAACTATTAACACAAGACTGCTAACTCTTGCTATTATCACACTTGCTATTATCACACATCCTCCTTCTAACAAAACCACATTTCCAGATGGACTGCCAAATTTAGTCAAGTGACTCCTAAGAAATACTACCGAGATTGACATGCCAGAAATTCATTTAGAAATGAATGCTTTATTTAAATAAAGGAAACGTACACCCAAACACACCTTTCCTAAGGAAATACAAGTTGCTTTATTTACAATTCAGCCTGAATTTCAGCTCAGTTGAGGCCATTCCCAGGAACAGTGGGACACCTGGGCTGTTACCCTATCAGCATACTGACTAGTCCACAGAAAATGGAGTGGACTCATGAGTGGGTGTGGGCTAGGTCTGACTGGGGGCTCCTGATAATAAATTCAAGATCAATAATAAACTCAACCCAGATAAAATATGAGTAATGCAGGAATTCAGTTGAGAGGGTAGTTTAGTTAGCTCTGTGATATAACTGGTTATTATTTTCAGACTGCTGTTTATTTTGTATTCAATATAAAGACTCATTTTTGAAAACATATCAATACCCAGCAACTCATAATTCTATTAGATTAGATTACTGCAGTGCATTCTATAAGCAACCATTCTTGCAGAGGAAAATTATCAGAGTTGTCAGCTCCATGGACCAGAATTAGATGCTTTGTTTCAATCTGGAAAACTCAAGGCAGCAATTTTCATATATGACTAAGAGGGTCACAGGCTCAAAACCGAGGTCAGCTCTGGGGCCAGGAAAGAAATCATATTCTCTGTGCCAAAAAAAAGGCTCCCCCTGAATGGAGATGTCTAGAATTCTTACTCCTCAGGAGAAATAGCTGGACACAGAAGCCCTGTCCAGAAAATAAAACAAGCCCATCTATCTGATGGCACCTTCGTAAACACTCATGACACTTAGGAAACAGAAGAGCCACTTACCACTGGCCAGCTTTAAAAGAAAAATCCTTATCAGCAACAAGCAGGCAGAGCCTCTTCACAGACGGTGACTCACTGGCAGCTCCACACACCTTTGCTGCTGACACGACCTTGAGTCAAAAGATGAACTGTGGCTGAGGTTAGTGTGTACACACGCCAAGAACAAATTGTGGCTTTCTGGTAACTCAGGTATTATGAAGATGTGGTTTTTGACCATTGCAAAACAAGGTAAACCACACTCTGCTTTAAAATTCTGCCTATCACCAGGTGAATGAATTTTAATTATCTTGTTTTTGAGAGACTTGCTAAAATATAAATTGACTTTTATTCTGCATACCAATATCATCTCAAAGGGACTATTTAACAAGCATTTATTTGTTGAGTGTCTGCCATGTGTCGTGCACCAGGCTGGGCACTTCAGGAAGAGCACTGGGACTTCGAGTCTGTTTGGCATCTAAAGCCTGTCAGTACTACAGCCTCAAAGTGAGGCCCACCATTAGCTGTGAGCCTGTGTTTGTTCCGAACCTACAAGAAATCCATGACATGCAAATTTCAGAAGTTAAAATAGTAAGCACTGAGAAACTTTATTTTCACAATTTTAGAGTAAATTGTGTACCTGTTGAATCTAATAATAGAAAGTAGGTTTGTACTTCTTAAGTCTTTATTTATTTTATTTTTTATAATCCCTTTTTAATTATATTTTACAAAATATAAATGGTCTACAATCTTAAAACAACAGCCCTTCACTACAGATATCTGGTTTCTAGAAAATCCTAAAAAGGTCTGAGTTAGGTACTCTTCAGTCAAGTGCCATCCATGACTCAGCAACTCTCAAATTCAAAATGTCTCTATTTCCTTCATTCTGTTTCTTCTGTCTTTGGGTTTCTCTTTCTCCCTAAGCCTGGGATATCTGCACAAAGGGCGAAAAAAGACAGCATGACTCCTTCAACGTCCTACTGCTGTTCAACTCCACTTCCGGCAGCAAATCAAGATCAGTAGCAGGTGAACAAAATACAGTCATTTTCCTTGGCCAGTGTTACTCTCAGGGCTCCATTCAAGGGTGCCTTGAAAATCTGTTCAAGGTCGGTGACCCTTCCACCCTAACACTAGCTCATTCAGCCCCCTGTCTCCAATAGGATTAGGTCTAATCAAACTATCAGTGGGAAACATTCTTAACAATCCACTGGAGAATTCTCAGGACGGATGGTGGTCTCCCTCACCACCTCAAAATCTGTTAAAAATTTCTTTCTCTTACTCCTATGAAGTCCCTTGGCTCTCTTTCTCTGTATTTTGCTAATCTCTCTCTTCTCTCCCTGGGAGCAAGTGGGGTGATTTTCCTTCACGGATCTGCACTGCTGATCCTAGTCCTGCCTTTCCTCTCTGAAACAATGCTTCATCAGCTCCTACCAGCCCTTTCCTTCATGTTCAAGTTTTCTCCCTCTAGACCTTCTGCTTCACCAGACATGATATCCAATGCTGTTTGCCCGTCCTAAACAATTCAACAACAAAATAAAAGCAGCATAGTATGGCTGTTAACAGCACGGGCTCTATAGCTAGATTGCCTGTCATTTAATCCTGACTCCGCAATTTGCTTACCTACCATCTGTGTGACTCTGGGCACATTTCCCTAGCCTACCTCAGTTATAAAATGAGAATAACAACACCTATACCTCAGAGTTGCTGGGAGGATTAAATGAGATTATATATGCAAAGCATTTATAATACTGCTGGCCCATAGTAAGTACATATTTATTATAATGTCAGATATAATATATCTTATTGCATTAATTATAATGAATTTATCCATATTGTTATTACTTTATACATTACACTTTTTCACTTACTATTGCATTTGCCATCACATCAGTGCTGCCATGCAGGACCTTGCAGACCCCCATGGGGACTGTTCTCGTGGATGACAATAAGGACCTGTAAATTATGTCGGTCTTTGTACCACATTCTATCAATTACTTTGCTAGACCAAATTTAAAAGCCATACTGTCTTGAAGCTACTTTAGAAATTTTGCCTTTAATCCTTGCCTCTGATACTTCTTTATCTGACAGAATCTTCCCTTTTCCCTGATGTTCTCCGTAACTTCTCCTTCCAAGGTTGGTGGATATCTTCCTGAACAAATTCAATATCCGGTCTCAGCTCTCACTCTCTCTGATCTCTCTGAACTTGATGTTTACTTCTTTTCCATCCTGACGCGTTTTCCTTGCCTGGGAGAGCTGACATTGAATGCTTCGGGTCCTCTGCCCCTATGACCCAATCCTTCTTCTTTACCATTCCTCCTCCCACTTCGTCGATGGGACTTTCTCTCATTGGCCTCACTCCTACTCCCTCTCCCACCTCTAGGCTGAGGCCCTCAAGCATCCCAAAGCTCTAACCTCCACCCGCAACTCGTTACTCTTTTTGCTAATCACAGGCTCACATCTACATTCTCCTGTGAGTAACAGCCAATGTCTGGGGAGCATTTATCTCGGGTGTATACCAGATGCTGGGTTAAATGTTTTATGTGCACTGATTCATTCAGCTAATATGAATAATTATACTATATCCCAAGACATAGTGTCATCATCTCTATTCTGCAGATGAGGAAATGGAAGGGTTCAACAACTTTCTCACGACGACTCAGGAACAGCTGAATCAGGATTCAAACCTAGGTCTGCTTGGCCCTTAATCACCTGATAGTCTTATCCCAACAATAAACTCACTTATTTGTAGAACTAAATCCACCATATTCATTCAGACATTTCTTGAGCATGGTGCCCGGTACTGGATATGGAGAGATGGAAAAGGCTACCCCTGCCCGCTGAAAGCCCCCTAAAATCAGCTGCTTTCCATCACCAGGATTTCAATTCCAGACCCATCTTGGACTCAGTAATGTCAAATCTATTTTCATTTGGTACATGAGCACATGCGCGCACACACAGAGTCTTTGACTCTTCCAGGCATTATGTCCCTAACATAGCCAAGTTCCGTAAACTCAGCTCATGTCTTTTCTGCCACTTGTGCACCCACCACCATCCTAAGCCAAAAAATTTTTCTTTTCAATTGAACTGCTGCCTTTGCCTCTTTGTCTCTCTCAAAGAAGCCAACAAGTGAATATTCCTAATGTTCTGACTTCACTGAGTTGCTCTCAAAAACTGTCAAGGGCTCTCCAATATTCAATTACCAAACAAACAAAACAAAACAAAACAAAACAACGTAAAAGGCCTTTGTAATTCATTCCAGCTTAAGCTCCTCCTCAATCCCTATGCTAGAGGTTTACCAGCCAAACTGAACAACTCACTGGTCTTCAAAGGCACCTGACACTTGCCTGCCTCCCAAAACGCTGCCTAGGTCACTCGGCAGGTACCATACTCTCTCTGTCCTGTGTAACAATCCCTCAACCACCGTCCAGGCCCTGCTCAAACACTACCCACCTACCCTCCGCCTGAGGTCTTTCCTCTTCTCTCCACCCTTTCAACTCTACCCATAAAATATTTCAGCCTTTCTTATCATACTTAGCACATGTTAATGTAAATACAAATTCTCCTGAAAATGTCTTTTTGACGAGGAATCTTCGTGGTCTGTCACACATTCAATTTTAAATGTTATTACAAAGACAAGTAATAAGAATCATCAGAAGATTCTCCCTTACATTATTGCTTTCATTTTTTTTTTTTTTTGGCTTACAAAAAAAAATGTTTATTTTATAAACATTCGTTATTTTCTTTCAATATAATAATCTGTAAAAACAAAACAAAGAGCTAGATTATTTCATCTATAAGAGCTTAACTGGCATCTGTCAGATTCATGAACCAAACCAGATACATAGCTTTAAATACATCCCAAAGAGTCACCTGGTAGCAGAAAAATCAACATTCATAACCACTCGGGGGAAGGGGGAGAGGAACGCAGAATTTCAGCTGAAACATGTCTGCATTCTTCACAGTCAAATGCCAGTCTATGTGAAATGAAATCACCAAAATTGGCCAATGTCTAAATATAAAATTCAATGAAGAAGGGGAAAATGTTACACTTTCTATTGAAAAAGTCTTACTTTTATTTGGATTGTCTCTGACCAAAAATGTTCCCAGATGCTTTATGCTTATTGGCATCAACATTAACAGTAATATATACCTATCACTATTTGTCCTAATAATCTGAGCAAAACTGCTGTAACTGGTGACACGAAATACCTTTCAAGACATGCCTCCCTCTTAACTCTTTGTCCTATTTACTTAATACAAATAATGTACACTATATAAAGGTTTCTAGCAACGTGGATTAAAAACATTAGCAAAATCTTTTTGAAGGCCGCATCTTTATTCTGAAGCTAGTTTCGAATGATTATGATCTGTAATCACGGCCCTTGTACGCCATTCTTTCCTTTTCTGAATAAGTAAAACATGATGGAGAAACTTTATGATTTAACTTGTACTTGTTCTCATACTTAATGGATCAAAAGATTTCACAACTGAAACCTCAGCTGGCCATGTCCTAAGTTAAAACACATGGCAGGAAATGAAGTTTTCCATAAAATAACATTTAGAGTCTTCTACTGTTCAATAAAATAACAATACATTTGCCAACCTTTTACTAGCACACATTCTCAATGCTTTGACGAAGTCAGCATCTAAAAGGAAATTCCATCACATTGGTTTAAAAAGCAGGTTTTATGTAGGATATCTTGATGCTGCTGCAAAAGTCTCTGTACAGGAAATAGGTCTTTCTTTGGGGAACTTGACTGGCTTCCTCTGTTCATTCCCATTCATTCATTTGCTGGCTTAAAAATTTAAACAAAGCCAAGGTTAGAGATGACCTTAAACAAAAGAGGGCACAGAGAATTTCAGAGTTGAAGGAAAATTTACTCATCATCAAAAATACCATTTTACACATAAGGACACCAAGGCCCAGAGACATTTTTTAAATTGGGGCAGAGGACCAATCTGATGAGTAGGAACCTGATGAAAAGAAACTGGTTTTATTGAAGTGATTTCCTGAAAAGGAAAGTCCACAAAATCTGTCAACCGTACAACTTCTTAAGTGGCATATGCCCATCAACACTACATCCTGGCAAATGAACTTTCCTTGCTCCTACCAAGGGCTAACCTGTCCACTGGG